ACTTTGTGGACCTTGAAGTGCAGATTTCGTGGCAGGTGCAGGACTTTGTGGCCTTGGAGTGCAGAGTTCGTGGCAGGCGCAGGAGTTTTTGATGTGGAAGTGTAGAGTTGGTGGCAGGTGCAGGACTTTGTGGGTTCAGTAAATATGTTTTTCTTGATTCGGTAAATATATTTTTTTGATTCGATAAATATGTTTTTTTTGATACCTATGCCAGCCACAATCCCTCCTCACTGCCCACCTGTACCTCCGAGCGCCGCAAGAACTGGCCCAGCAGGCTGCGGCGTTGCCGGAGCTCCTGAAGACCGGAGTTACGGAATCGGCGGTGGGAAGTGGGAACTCATGTTCTGTGATGATCTCTCTGGTGATTTGTAGAAACCTCAGCGTACTTCGTCGCAGTCGGTGATTGGGGAACCTATGTGTTGCTCCGCGGTCTTTCAAGAAAACCGCGCAATTTGACTTCTAAAGTCTAAAGCGTATGCCTTCATGGTGAAGCCGCGTGAACACACAACGTCAGGACCGATTCACAACCAATCACATCTTCAGTCTCTCTTTGCGATATTTCCTGTCCCAAGGCATGGCCAAGCAGCTGCGAGATCTTCACAGCTGCCAAGCACCGGCTAAATATACAGTATTAATTTTCGTAGACAGAGCTACGTAAACCAACAAGAAGTTGGGTCTCAAAATGAGGGCCTCAGGGCTCTGCCGGGCCCAGATTTCAGAAACACCACTGGCTGGTTGGGGAAATGATCGGCCTTGAAGTGAACATGTCCAACCTAACCTACTTTTGGGTCGCCGCAAAAGTAGGGTCTGTTTCACCAACAGTGAGCAGGATGCCAAACCGGTTTTCATCTCCAGCTCCTGTTCCGGAGATTCCTTCTCATTGGAGCGCGAATTGGACGCCTCTTTGGGAGTCTCCTGACGGCCGATGCGGGAGACTAGAGACCAGCGCCTGGCACCTGGTCTCTGGGGAGATCGGCCTATTGATGTTGGAGTATCCGGCGACCAAACAGAAACCGAACAACTTTCTTAAAAGGAAGATTCATGACTTGCCTGAGCAAGTACTAATGAACTGCTAGCCCCTCCAGTCGGAGAAAGGATCACCCCAGACACAAGTATGCCACAGGTCCCGGTACGGTATGGTGTTGCAGCTGCTTTTTTCCGAAGCAAGCGCGGACCCCAGCCATGCTGTCCTGGAACCCTCCTGTCCCCAGCGCAGCCTCGGCTCCCTCTCCTCCTCCGAGGCATCGCTGGACTTCTCACTCTCCGAGCGATCGGAGGCCTCCAGCGCGGGCGGTCGGATTCAGCGGTAGATCATTCAGCTTGGCCCACTTCATCATGCTTCTCCAAAAGTCCCAGCCTTAAGACCGGAACTCTCGTACTGACCATCAAGCCAGTCGGCAATCATGGACCATGACGGTTGCCAATGCGGCCGGGGGTGGCTGGGGCTGCGGTTGGGCCGGTGCCCAAGATCCCACCTTCTGTGCTCAGAACGCTCCGAACCACTGCCGGTTCTTCATGCTTGCGCTCAAAGTCTACACCTTTGCCATCTCAGCATCACTGATTGTCTTAAAGAACAAACTGACAGAATCCCTAAATCATATCTGGATTGGCACCAACCCTCACAGCCTGAGCCACAATGATCACAATCCACCTGACCTCTTGGGATCACCAACAGATCTGGGTCTCCGCTTGGAGTCTGAGGAACTCAGTGTTTGCAGCGGGGTCAAATATACCTGGGTCTACCATGTCAAACATGTCCTGTCAAAAGGTCTACAGGAAAAATCCTGAAAAATCACCCTTGCCTCAACTGCTAGTTTTGAAGATATGAAAGATGGAATTGCTTTCACCTCTGACAGTCCTTATCCTGCCAATCGCCAACCTCTCAGCTCGACCAGGATCCAGCAAGATACCTCTCTTTTCACTCAAAGAAGTTCCACACCCTTCGGTGACAAATCTTAGGTAAAGAAGGGTGCAAGCGGGCTGCCACTCCTTCTAAGAAGGATTTGCCCACAACCCCTGAGGGTCAACTGTGAATTCCAAAATGAATTTGTCGAGAATGCACCACTCACCTGTGGCATGTGAACGCCGCGCCACTTGCACGACAGAAAGCTACGGGCAGGGCATCAGCACCCCGCGGCACGGGGCCAAAATCACCGGCTGCAGTCCAAATTCACTGGTCAGGAGCTAGAAGTGATCTTTCAAAACACCAATCAAGCACAGCACGAACCTCGGGTACTCTCCACGCATTTGCTACTTGCCTCCATGTGCTGAACAAAACACCTTTTTGTCAATTACGCGACCAAGAATCGTTTTTTCGGGGGACGGACTTGACTGGAAAAGCCCTGGAAAGTCAGCACCCAGAAGAATGAAAATGCAAGGGGTGTACCTGCATCAACTTCAGGGACTTCAGGTGGCAATGTTTGCTATAGTACGCAGCCCAGTTTACATGATTAGGCAATTTTCTGAAAGACCGTTCTTGACCCAAATACCCGAAAAGCGCAAAGGTTGGTTAAACAAACGCCAGGCCCCCGGCTCACATGCAAGCCGAGTGGTTTGATTACCAATCGAATGAACTTGCAGTAAATCATCGTTGTTTTCCTATCTCCATGGCTTACATAGATCCCACCGCTCCAGATCCCACCTGGGGTGTCAGATGGGGAACGAACACCCAGATTATGGCTCTAAGACCCAGAAAGATTAGTGGTGTCAGACTTAGGGTTCTAAGACCCAGATTCCGCAAGTCGTCAGACAACCCAGAAAAACACACCTAGGTGGCTTTGATATTCATTGCCATAGAAAGCCAGCATGCCTTGCTGCCAAAGCAGAGCAAAGCAGGGCAAAGCAAAGCAGAGCAAAGAAGTTCAATCCACCCCATCCATGTGAACCAACCTCCTGAGGGTTGTTTTTTTTTTCTGGAGACAAGCCCATCGTCTATCCCTCTGACTTCTGCCCAGCTTCAAGGCGAGCCTTGAAGACCAAGTCCTTCGGCAAACGACTCCAGAGATCGATGCGAAGGTCACTTGGCTACTGGTGTTCACCTCGCGCGCGAAGACGGCGCGAAGACGGGGCGAGGCCGGGGCGAAGACGGGGCGAAGACGGGGCGAAGACGGGGCGAAGACGGACGGACGGATGACACGTCGGTCAAAAGCGGAGAAAAAGAGAAGAAACTGAGACCGGTCTACGGTGGTGTTTCTTTCTTTGTTTTTCTTTGGGGGGACGAGTTTCTGCTGATGCCATGGGGTGAGAAAAACAAACAACATCCAGAACTGGAAGGTACTAGTTCCACTAGTCACCAGACCTATCTATAAGATATGGAAAATCATTCATTATATAAGTCATAAGAATCTTCCCATCAGGTTATGATGAACGAGTCTTTCAACAACTGTGAGGATCGTGCAGGCCACACCACTGCTACAGTACCACGGTGTACCAACCTTTGACGCAGGTACCTCTCCAAATCAGGGAAGCAATAAGACAAGCAACCAGGTGAACATGAATCCCAGTGTCAATACAGAGTCAGTGACGCGGTAAATCAAGTCAAGCAGGATAGTGAGTGCCAGGGCTGATAAAAGTCTAGGTCAAAATTCACCATATAGCAGCTGGGGTATGTTGCCTCTGAAGCAAGCTTCACTTTGCTCTCTCTTGAAGCTTCTCTTGAAACAAAAAATCCAGGTACAGGTTTCACTTTGAGACAAAAGGGAGCGGGGCGCAGCGCCACTCCCACTGGCCTCCACCGTGTACAGGAACCACCGGTCCTGTCGTGGTCAAGTTGATGTTTTAAGAATTGCTGAATTTCTTGGTCCCAAATACTTTCGTGGTCGACATCCGAGGTGCTGTCAGCTGCTGCAGATTCTCGCCGCAACTTTCCATACAAAATTACACCGTAGACCCCAAACAGTTGACCGCAAAAGGCCGACGCAGTAGCCCCGACTGGGAAGGAAAAAATATGAAGAATAGCTATTGAGTATTTGCCAGAAGGTCTCACACATGTAAAGGATGGCCCAAAGGAGTTGCCAGAAGGCGGACCACGTCTTCGCCCAGACAGGAGATAATGTAAAGAACTGCTACCAAGGAGTGGCCGGAAGGCGGAAGCACTAGCCCAGACTGGGAGGCGAATGTAAAGACTTGCTATTGAGGAGTTGCCGCAAGGTGGACACACGCAAAGACCCGGGCAGAGAAGATGGTTGCTAAGCAGTTGCCGGAAAGCGTGCACACTACCCCACACTTGGAGACAAATGTAAAAAATTGCCACTAAGGAGTTGCCAGAAGGCAGACACACCAGCCCAGACTGGAAAACAAATGTGTAGAGTTGGTACTATATACGGAGTTGCCGGAAGCAAACTTAAAGAGTCGCGACTAAGGAGTTCCCACAAAACACACCGTAGCCCAGTCTGGGAGACAAATGTAAAGAATCGCGAGAGAAGAAGTTGCCCAAAGGCGGACCACGTCTTCGCCCAAACGCCTCGGCGGACACACATAAGAATGCATGGAGAACGAGAAAGGCTCAAACTGTTTGGGGAAATACTCGAGAGGCCTAAAAGACAGTCACGGGCGATCGCCCGTGGAGGAAAATGGAAGACCTCCTTTCCTTGTGGCGGAGCGGGGGATGGCGGACAGCCTGACCGACACTGTTGCTGGAAGATGTCCATTCAGTCCAAGCCCTTTGTTGGCTTTGGGCACTCATGGTCAGTCCATCAGTGCCTAAACATGTTCTCAAAGAAGATTACGCCAGCATTGACCCCAAATAACAGGACTAAACCACGCACTGGGCAGAGTGGGCAGCGGCACTCTGCAACGGCACCAGCACCCTGGCTCCAAAGCACATACAGCAGCACCCTGGACAAGGACCCTGTACCAGCACCCAGGCTGCAAAGCGCCCACAGGCACCTTTTCCTAAACTTGAAGAACCCCAAGGAAGTAAGAACCCCAATAATAGCTCTCGCAATCTGGGGGAAAATCGCACCCAAAGCGCTGAGTTCTAGGCACTAGTGTCCACACGAGTTCACCCGGTTCAATAGCCCAGAACTCTGACTTCTCATTTCCTGCGCCCAATGTGGTCAGAAAGGCCAAAAAGACCGCACCAGACATTCACCTGGATGTTCAAGCATCGGTGGATGCAAAGCACTTAGTGACTTAGTGCTTCAAGCCCTCCCGCGTGTGATGTCCAAAAATGCACTCCACACCTTGGTCCTGAAATGCTCCAATTGGAATCCTCAGTCCATGGGCTTTCGCCAAAAAAGAGGATTCGAATAAGCTACACTTTTCTGTGGCCCAAAATGGCACGGCTTTTTCTTCGAGGTCGGAGAGCCCATGGAGATCCAAAGAAAGACTTGCAGATTCCGTCTCCGTTCCGTCGCTTTTTGGTTCTTAACCAACTCGAGATTGACGGAGGCTAGCGGCTAGCTTATCAGGATTGAGTTTCCAGCAGTGGGTTCAATTCTACTCACTCCTATATCACGAAAATGCAAGAGCCTTTGTTTGTTCGACTTGGGCGAATTCTTAGCATCCAAGGTGCGTATGCTCAAGACAACACCATCTTTGGCACAGAGATCACCTGCTGTTGCTTGAGACAAACGGCAGAAAAAGAAAAGAAGAACCTTTGCACCTTCCTCTTGTGCTGTCATTCTCCAGGCTCTTGGCCTCTCCCCGAAAACCTGAACAACACCCACATCGCTCCGAGAGAGTTCGACTACATCCTCCAGCAGTTCTTGCTAAAGAAAAACACCGCCACGCTCTTCTGGTCCCCAAATAAATGAGAACAAGCGAATCGCCTGAGTCGCCTCATATCCCTCTTCGAAAGCGAAGCTATCACGTCTCTTTCGAACACGAATGCATCGACCCTTGCAATTCTCATCGACCCTTGCAGTTTGTTTTCACCGACGAAGGCGTCCCAAACGAAACATTGACCCCTGATTGTCCCAAAACCAATGGTTTTGTTCATGTCTGACATCAAAAGCACACGGGCTCCTTCCTGGAACTGAAAGTGAGTTTCCTACCTCCATGGAATCAACCCTTCCTTAAAAGAAATCCCAAGAAACACCTCTGGCTCACCTCTCGGATACTCTCCCCCCTGAACACCGCCCATCTTATGCAGCTGGCATGGGCATCAACCCCTATCCATCCCAACTGGTCCTCCGCAAGGCCAGACATATCCCGGTCATCATCTCAATGCCCCTGCCCCGCAACAAAAGGCTTCTCCCGTTTGAAGAAAAGACGCACCAAACCTGCAGAGGTGGCTGTAACATTGACAGCCCCCATCGAAGACTCCGTACAGGCCCACATCCTCGATTTCGACTCCGTACCGCGCATGATGTCGGCGCCGAAAGAAACGAGAGACGACAAAGGCGTTGCCGCGCCGCGCCACGCGCTCGCACCGTTTGGGGATGGGAAGACCCCCACAGAGTCGCTACTGTACCTGGTGCCGCGCCCGTGCCCAGCGCTGTGACTGAAGAGGGGGACTTGGCGAACGCCGGTTTGGAGGGCGAAAGTGGGAAAAGATCAGAAACAGAGTCCATTTAGCAGCGTGTTCAGTAATAGTTCAAGAAAATGGCCAGCTGCAAAATTATGCCCAAGCAACCACTGTGCGTGTGCATGTGTGTGTGTGTGTGCGTCCAGACAGGATGATGGATTTGCATAAGCCATGTGAACGTGTATGATGCATGTATATATACAGTGTGTATATATATATACTGTATAATATATGTATATATATATGTATATCCATGCAATGAGCACGAATCTTGAAAGTTATCTTGAGACTAAGAGCAGCCTGTGCAGCAGCTCTGATCCTCAAGATGTCAAACAAGAAAAGAAACCAGGATAAAGACTATAGCTAGGAGAAACCATGCAGAACATCCCAGACTCAGAAGTTGCATACTGTCAGGCAGCTTGTTGCGCCCTGTGGACACCTCCCAAGTCATTTCTCCAAGGCACGGGAGGTCCCAAAGCAGGTCACTTGAGAAAGAGCATTCCAGGTGATTGCCAAAGAGATAGGACTTGGGAAAGAAGAACGTCAAAGGTCGTCCATTCTCCTGTGGCCGAATGGATGGAATGCATAGAATTGACAGAATGGATGGGATGGATCGGGGATCAAGTGACCGGGCGAGTTCGGTTGGTACAGTAGTTGCGTAGCTGTCCAGCAAGAGGGGAGAGAAAAGTCCAAGCTCAATGACCAAATCAGGCCTATTTTGGTGGGCGAACCCTTCTGCCAGGCCTTGGCAGGGTTTTCCAACCTCAAACCGTAGAGTCTCCTTAGAAAGAACCTCTTAACTTGGAGCCTGAATGCACAGAACCCCCTAAACCTCCAAAAGCGACCGGACCGGACAGCGGGCCTTCAGTCGCAAGCCTGACTTCGGTCATCAGTCCTGTTGCAAGTCAATGACCCAGATGGGTTCGTCTTGATCGACGACTCCTGCACCCTTGGGCTCGCGGTTCACGTACCAAGCTCTGCCATGGTCAAGGCACAGAAGCCAGCGAAGAGAAAGATGGGACCCAGGTGGTCTCGTCACGTCCGCTTCCCAATTCTTCCCAAACGTGTACCCATAGAAGTTCACCTCAACTTGCAATGAGCTTCAGTGCCAAAATAGCTTCAAGCAAATCTTGCAGGCTTTCCCAAAAAAAAACACCTGGTCAGCACCTGGTCTTGCAGGCCTTCCCCAAAAAGCACCTGGTCTTGCAGGCCAACCCAACTCAGCAGCTTTGAAAAGAATTCCTGCCTTGATCCGGCCGGGGCTGATCGAGGTCTCTTCACCACAGAACTTTTCATCTGCAGCCGTCTCCACAGCCGTCTCATTGACGTCGCTCGGATCGCTCGGCTCTTCCTTCACCAGCGTACAGGTCTCAATGCGCGACACCTGAAGCGGCGGCGAGTGCTGCGCGTTTGGAGTGCTGCGCTTTTGGAGTGGCAAGACACTCCCGTTGGACAGCGATGTTGGGCCAATCCGGGGCCAAAGTGGGTTAGGGAGGGCGAGGTGGAAAGCCTATTGTTCTATACCACTCTTGGATGTAAAGCACCCCACCTCCAACCAAAGAAGGTCCTGCCCAGTCCCTCTGGGATTTGTCATGACTTGGCGCCTGTTGCGCGAACCAGTCAAGCAGTGTGCTCCGCGAGCCCCCGGAATCCCCCCCACCTCAGTGCTGTGGAAGACGGTGCCCGGAACGCTGCTGATGAAATCGGCGAATTGGATCTGAGACTTTCCAGATTCGGCCATGTAGGCGGTTTGGCCAACCACCAAGCCTGAAGAGATGGTCCCAAGGCTTAGGCTGTTGGAGACCAAGCTATACATGGAGCCCACCATGTCGGGTGGAGCAATTATCTCCTCACCAGAGCAGTTTCGGCAGCGGCATGGAGGTGGCAGCACATCTTTCGCCCAAGACTGGGCACAGAATTTCGTGGGCCCAGGATTCAATCCACACCCGAAAACCTGTAGGTGGGGGGAAACGCCGCTCGGAAATGGGTGTCCAAGGGCCGGGGTCGTATCAGCCAAGTGCCAAGGTTTTTTTCTCTAACAGTAAAGATGTTCCAAGACTTTGAAATAACATTGTGCACCTTAGGTTATAACATTGTTAGAAAACCTCAGTTTCAATAACTTTGGTTATATAAAACCTGAGAGGTCTGCATTTGTTGCACAATCAGACTTAAACATGTCCAATTCATGATCCACCTCACACCTGCACAGTCCATACCTCCAAACGAAAGACAAACCGACGCATCGAACGACGCAGATCGACGCAGATCGACGCAGTCTTCGCTCCTGATGCCAGTGGAATCGCCTCGATTCCCAGATGTCCCGCCATGTCTCCACAGTCTCATTGCCAAAGCCTACCTGATGAAAAGCTGTGATATATTTTCGCTCAAACGTGAGTCGTCACGACGAGACAGCAGAACACGGAGGATTGAAAGAATATAAACAAAAGCTTTTTGGAACACCAGTGTCCGAAGAAGAAAAAAACTTTTGGAACACTCTCCCACAAGATATGTCTCTTTCTTAGGAGAGGTTGTAAACAGATCAAAGAGATAGATAGACATGGTGTACAGACATGGATGCGCATAGACTGCACAGTAGAAAAGTAAAAAGGAAATTTATATACACACTATATGCTCACTAGCACAGTAGAATTCCTGCAGTAAAATAGAATTTCCCATGGAATCTGTCTACTAGTCTTCTCCATATTTCTGGCCCTTGAAAGGCACTGGATAACTCCCAGCCCTTTGGCCAAGTCACTGCCATGCCCTGGAATCCCAATTCAAAGCTCCTCAGCACCATGGGTTTCACGCGTCGAGTTCCCGTGTCCCCGGTCATTTTGCAGTCTGAAGCAGGTCACGCGCGGCATGGAGGATTTCAACAAAGACACTCGTCACATGATCGCATCGCGCAGGATTGGCTGTTACATTCACCAAGCATCATTCCAGAAACTTTGCAGTCTTCTTCATTGCCACAGTTGCAAATGTCAAGCCACAAGGTCTCATTCAGCTGGGTGCTGCCTCTTCAGGCAAACAAAACAATTTTGTCTACCAACCATTTTTGTTGCAACAACAAACCACTCAGCCACTCGGCACGGCACCTGCTGTACAAAGTTCTCCACCTTTGACACTCCAGGTGTCTGTCACGTTGGCTTGCAAATGCCGCTGCCCCAAACACGGTGCAAGACATGCGAACAGCGCGCTGAGAAACATGTGGCGGTGTCCGAAGAAAGGCTGGTTTTCATGAAATGGCGTTTGGAATTGCGGTTGTTTTCTTGTTTTCATGAGGATTGCTTTCGGGTCACCTCATCTGCGAAACAATAAAACTAAAAAACTTCAATACGTTTACGGTGGAATGTCGTTGGGCATTGGTCATTGCACCCACGAAAGGAAATGGTTATCTCCGAAAAGAATGAGGAACCACCTGCCTAGCCTTCTTTACTACTACTCATGGAATCTTGAGCCACAACTAACCGCAACCACAACTGAAAGTTTTAATTTGTTCATCTACCATCTGCATTGCCCTGAACTTTGTGCCCCGTCTAGATCCGAAAACATTGAATTGCAGGCACACACAGGAACCCAAATAACCGCACACATACTTATATGTGGAATGCGTGAATCTCGTTCTACGTCGCCATTTTGGCAACAGCGTTCAGTTCCAACCTGGACAGTTGTGTTTCTACTGGAGAGATGCCAAAGCCTCAGATCTGGTCAAGATCCGCTGGAAAGGTCCGGCTCAAGTTCTGATGCGCGAAGATGATGATGATGATGATGATGATGATGATGATGATGAAGGAAAGCCCCCTGTTGTACTGGATTAGCTACAAGTCCCAGCTACTTCGATGCACCTCATCCATCACCTTCGACCAGCCATCGACCAAGACACCAACACTCTCTTGGATGGCATCAAGGAAACCAACAAATCCAGCATCACTTCGTAGCCGTTGACTCGGTTGCTGGATTTGACAGTGCTTGGTAAGCTCCTATTCTGATCGCTTGATCCACGTGTCTTCATCAGTCAGGCGGCGCTTGTTCTCTTTATTTATTGTCCTAAAGACCTGTTCAGTATGGATTGTATCCTTTCGTTGCGAGTTTTGCTCGGGAGTAGCACCTACTCCATGGCATGGCCCAGAGTCTGCTACTCGGCGCTTGTCCATGTCTCGACGGCAAGGCCTCCAGTCGGCTGGACGGCAGCGACTTCGTCTCAGGTGCCACACCTGCCTGGCACTTTCAGACTCACAAGGGGGACCCCAGGGGGACCTCGGGTCTGCATAGTAGCATAACCGTTAGTTGTGTGTGTGTGTGGGTGTGGGTGTGTATGAAAATAGGGAGACCTCCCACCCAACGTGACCTGAAAGGTTCGGAAATTAGAGTAACGTAACATCGACTCAGTCAGGGCCAGTACGTGTCTCCCAGTACGTCGACCAAATTTGGATCAATTTGGAGATGTGTTTGGGTCACCCCGTGTTGTTTAGGATGGTTTGGTTTGCTTTGGATGAGCTGGGGAGAACTCTTTTCTGAATCACTGCAACGGGCTTTCAGCATCTTGATCCTTGATCATTCAGAAGTAGAGAAAACCAACCATGCGTGGCGACGAAGACCTCGCTACGTTCGGAGACGTATCTGTTTTCTTGTGATCGACTATCCGCGATTGCCTTGTGATTTGTAATCCAATCGAGATCCAGCTTCCAGACAGCCTATGTATATATGGCATTATATGGCTACATTGATCCCTTCAAGCAACCCAATGTTGCCATGTTGCCATGGGCCACGGGGTCACCCCGGAGCCACTACGGTAAATCTTCCAGAGGTCCGTGAAGACGACGCCATAGAGCGAACGCCACAGGCAGTGCTGCACTTAACTTTCATTTGCAGATGCCCAGTTGGTTCAACACGCGGTTGTGGGCTGCTGATCTTGTCGTGGCAAAGATACAACCCAGCACACTGTTGTGAGCTGCTGATCCTGCAGGAGGCACACACCTTAGACACGTGGAATCCCGTGGGTCAAAAGTCCGGAGCGCGTGCGTTTGACTGGAGGACGCGCATGTTGGAGAGAACGTGGATACTCCAAGAGGTCAATTTCTTCTTATAGGAAACTTCCGCCGCCGGCTTGCCCCCGAACTACTTGTAAGTGAAGAAGCCCAGCAGGACATGGATCTGAAGTCAGCATTTGTCCCAGCTGTCCCGCGGCAACCCTTTTTTCGGTGCGTCTGGCAGTGAGAACCACCCAGTGCTGGACACGCCGGTAGGCGCTGCAGCAGCCTCCGCCCGGAGTTCTGCGCGAGCCGCATCTCTATGATGGTGATGCTCCCAGTTGACAAAGCGCAACCCGGTTCCCCCTCCTCTCGGATTGAGATGCTCCAATGTGCCATTGCCCGTTCTTGGGCCCACAAAGCATCCGTATTTCATGGCACAAGGTGGTCCTGCGACAGGAGCAATCTCTCAATGGGACACAGCAGGCTTTGCAATGTCAATACCAGACGAAGTCTTCGTGAGCAGCCTGCTCACAAGACAGACAGGCAACGGGCCGTTCCACATTGGGTGGAGCCGCATGGCGGCAGCAGTGGAGGCCTGGACCCCGTTACTGTCCACTGGAAAAACCCCTTCCACTCTGACGCCAGCTGGTTCTTTGCTGCTGGCGTGAAGGGTGCAGACTCCATGCAGGAGGGCAGCTAACACCTGAAGGGCACCAGGCATGTTGACAGGGCGGCGAGGACTGTGAGATCAGTGGCTCTGCTGTGTGCGACATTGGCACGAGTGCAACACTCGCGGTAAAAGTCTGTGTGACGTGAATTCCCACTCAAGTTAGATCTCCCATGCACGACAAGACAATGCCTGGCCGTGGCACCAGCAACCTTCATCAGCACTTTCCACATTAGCTCGGCTTCGGGATTGCTGAAAATAACTTTGCAAGCTGACAACCTTCGAGAACATAGGGCTCTTCTCCTCAAAGCACCAATAGGACTGCGAGCTGATCACAAGTGGTTTATGCCACATGAAAGGCCGGCAGTTGTCTGTGACCTTCTCAAAGGATGTTCAGAAATTTCCTTGGAAGCTCTCGTTCAAGCAGCCCGAACTGCTAGTCACTGCACGCTAGAAGCCAGATGGCGAACTACGGAAGAGCATCCCAGCCAAACGCCCGTAGGGGCTAGCTTTCAGGCCGCTCATAAAGACCTTAGTTGAATTTCGAGGTGCCAGAGGGGCTTATAGCAGGCCTAGGGTGCGCCATCACACAGCCAGGACATTCCTTCCACTTCCATCAAGCTATAAGTGCTGCCGCTGGGTCAGGGGTAACAGGAGTGCATCAATGGAGTGTAATGCTCCCCACCAGGGCCTGAGTTGCACAGGAGGTGTATGAGCCACTCATTGGCATTCAGAGGCACAACCTGATGCACGGCGCCTCCTTTATAAAGCAGACCAAGGGGAGACGCGGTTCAGCGTCGGTCACTCCAGAGCTAGGCAGGCTCCTTCCTCCATCTCCCTCGAGCTCTAGGCTTCTTCAAGCGAGCTGCGGGAACCAACTGCCCCACCAAGAACCAGCGAGCCTTTGTCCATAAAGACACGGGCGAACTCCTGGCCAATCCTATTTGGGACACTCTCCGAGACTGTAACCGCTTCAACCTTGTTGTCCGACAATGCTTCAGCCAAGCCGAGCACAAAGGGCAACTGAGGAGAAGTGCCAAAGCGCATGCGATCGACGTGAGGCATGCGCGAGTAGACGTAGGAATACATACCATTGGAGAAGCGGCCTGGCAGCACTGCAACCGGCTGCGAATCGTTCAACTACCTCATTCTGTGGTCTGCTTGCAAGATGGAGCCTTCCGCCGATGCTACGTACTCCACACCGTGGTAGCCCCAGGGTGCAAATACTTCGGGCTTTGGGTTTTCGAAGAATGCTATGCCTTATAAGCCCGGATTGGAGATCAACGCACGACAGTCAATCAGCTGGCGCCACAGGCGAGATTTCGACCGCGAGCCTTCGAAAAATGCAGTACCCTCCAACAGCTCAATTTCGAGAGAACTGAGCATGATCCTACAGATCTGCATCGTGACATACCCGAGGGTTGCTTTTTCGAAGCTGGAATAGAGTCGTTAGTCTTAACAGAAGATTTCATCTGGATGGGTCCAGCAGCTTGCGAGCACTGTTCAAAGTTGCGGACAGTTGACATCTCACAAACAGAAATCAGTGAGATTCTGGGGGGCACCTTTGCACATTGCTCACAACTGCAGCAGCTCCGATTGGCCAAAGCAGTGAGGCGCATTGGGCGAGACGCCCTTCTAAATTGCACCTCCCTGGGTGAACTACACACCCCGCCCAATCTGCTCTTTATCGATAAACGAGCTTTTGCGGGCTGCACTCAGCTATGCAAGCTCATCAGAATGGGAAGGAAAACTACTTGGAGAGGTACTTACGCAGTACACGATGCTTTCGAGTCGTGCATGCAACTCGCACTCCCAACATGGATCCGACTCCTCCCCAAGCCAACCGACGGCCATGAAGAGTGGGCTGATTTCATGAGAAGCTGCGCAGAAGCAAACTGCAGAGAAGCCTGATCACGCAGACCTGCGACAGCTTGCGGGTTATAGGCAAACCACACACCTGCCACTCGACCTGCCGATACTGCTACCTACGCTGAGTAGATAGACAGCTCTCAGGGCTGCCTCCCAAGAGGTGGTCTTGGATGAGTACAGATGTACAGTTTCGCACACTAGGTATAGCGGCGTTTCACTGTTTCACGTAGTTTATGGGGCGTGCATGTTTTCACGGATTCAAGAGCACTCAAATTGCAATACGGAGACGCTGAAGCTGTCGAGGCTTGTCAACAGGGTCCTGCCTGCCACAATTCCTGGAGGGCAACGCAAGGTCAAGTCGCTTCTTCATGGTGGCTCCCGTTATGGAGCGCTTTCCTGTCACTGCCTCCCCTTTTGGGGGGGGCGCCTTGGTGGGTGGACCGCTTGTCTCGGTTCATCTCGTCCTATGTCCTCTGCAGGTTATGACTTTCACAAGTTTGGCAACCGACTCCTCAGAGAATCACTCTCCTGCAATAAGCCCCTAGTGCTGAGTTAAAATTTCTCCAATAACTGCGCTCTTCACAGACTTTCCTTGGGTTTTTGAACCCAGTGAGCCGAGGTCCTTCCTTATCGTTCGTTGGACAACAAATCATGCACTTGGTGCTCGATGAAAGCAAACAAATTGCCGCAGCACAGAGTGTCTTATTGCACTGTTCCTCACTCTTGCGC